CAGAAAGGTGAGCATCACGGAATGCAGGATTGTTAGAACAAAGTGTTCTTGGGAGTACTTGAGTTGAGGCCCAATATCCATCAGAAACCTTAATTCTTAACATATAGATTTGAGTACATAGTTCTATTCCCCTCTCGTTATATATAAATATATTTGCATATGTACATGCCTGTATTTAGGCCTCTATAAATGTCCTCTTTATCTTCATTTGGTCCATCTGTTATCATCATCAGTGGAAGTCACTTGCTTGTTTTTAATTAATGGAAGATTATTGATTGTGCTCTACTTTTTTGACAGAGCTCATGCCAATGGGTCCATCAGAAGGGGACACAAGAATGATGGCACAGAAACAGTGACCATGAGAACCGGCCTTGGAGTCAACCTGAAGGAAGTTAAAATCTTTAACCGAGTAAGAGAAAAAGGTCAGCATTACTACAGGGATCTATATATATATATAGTTACCGCTTCGCCCCTCTCATTTTTCAACATTTTATCATTTTTTGTTAGGGATTTATTCTTACATAACTCCAAGATATGAAAACCTACTCTAGCTGTCCACAAAATGCAGCATAGATCAGACTAATGAAAATCTATGCAGTGATTGGAATGTGCGTATTTGCCTAAGATGACCCTGGTGCATAATTGCCACGCCTTAATTATAGGATTAGGGTTAATAATGTAGGAACACTTGATAAATATGATGCTGCCCAAAAAAAATGCAGAGTGCATTTTCAGTAGGCTGAAATTTTGTTCTGTATTACATTGTGATACATTGAGATACATAGAGTGAGTATGTCCCCAGAAGGTACTGCTGTTAGGATGAACTATACCCAACCATCACTTTCTTAAAGTGGTTTTTTGTTCGTTTGTTTGTTTGTTTGTTTTAAAAAGATGCCAGTAGTTTGGCTATATTCCTTTATTTTACTCCCATTAAGTGAATTATAATTAATTTCCTTGACATTAACAGAAGGTATAATGATTTTGGAGATGACGAAGGTCTACTCATAGTGGGTAATAAATCTGATACATGTAACATTGTCACTAAAACTCAGAAGAAAAATTATGCCTAATATAGATATACCAGAACAACAGATTTCTTTGAAAACTTAGATATCTGTTTCATTGGCACAGAGTTTAAAGCCAGGCTTGTTTCTTGAGAATTCCCTTTTCGAGTGAATCAGTTACATGGGCCAAAGAATAAAAAGACAGCATTCAATACCCAATTTCTAGAGCAAAACATAAGCATAAATGTGCATATTTTTAAGCATCTCTGTGTATATATAAGCATATGTACATATATAGAGAGAGACATATATGCATGTGTGTATATTTATTTTTTCTTCCTCAGGAACAAATGTTTGTGCCAAGAACAATGGTGGCTGTCAGCAACTCTGTCTTTATCGAGGAAATTCCCAAAGAACATGTGCTTGTGCCCATGGATATCTGGCAGAGGATGGAGTGACTTGCCCAAGGCACGAAGGTTATTTGCTGTATTCAGGGAGAACAATATTAAAAAGTATACATCTTTCTGATGAGAACAATTTAAATTCACCAATAAGGCCATATGAGAATACACATTATTTCAAGAATGTGATAGCCTTGGCTTTTGAGTATAATCAAAGAAGAAAAGGTACCAACCGAATCTTTTACAGTGATGCACACTTTGGAAATATACAGCTTATAAATGATAACTGGGAAGACAGACAAGTGATTGTTGAAAGTAAGTAGCCATTTATTTTGACTTTGCTTGGTGAAAACAAATATCATTTGGATTACTAAATAAGGATTGTGGTAATTTCATGGAGTGATTATATTTTCCTAGAATTTATACTCAAAAATGAATTTAACTATGTCGTCGGGACCCTGAAAAGCCAAAGAAGCAATTAACTGCTGGCATACATCACATGAGTATTATGATCATTAGCTGCTGAGATTGAGAACTCTCAATATGTTTCATCATATTATTTCTTATAAACAAGTATATTAAAATCCATGGAAGATGATTTTTAGTACAAACTCACGCTAAATAATTTTCTTCCAGTGGGTACAATTATACTTTGAAAAAAAAATGTCTGCGGAATAATATTTTTGCTATTTATCTTTTCTCAAATACATATCAAAGTTTTTAAAAAATATATTTTGGGTTGAGATATGATCATCTTTAAAAGAAAATGCTATTATAGAAGTACTCTAATGTTTAATGAGAGGTAACCATCCAAACATGTTATTCAGCGTGGAATCAGCGCATAATTTAGAGAAAAACCTTTCTGGTAGCATCCAATATTTACAAAGCTCATTATTTCAGACCTTGTATAATTCCTTTCTGTGATTTCAATATATCTGCATATTTTCAGTTTCACTATAAAGTCAATCTTTTTTTTCCTCCTTTACTTTTTAAATTGCAAAATAATATGTACATGCATAATTGTTGGAAAGTGTTCAAATAGTATGGATTTAAGCACAAAATTCCTGTCCATAACCTTGATAATCAGTCCCATATACTTAATATTTCTTGTATCTCTAAGTCTAGACTCTTCCTTATGTGTGTCTGTGTATACACTTTAATTACAGAAATGACAGTATACTCTATATACACGAGTTAGTATTAAGCTAACTGCATTATTTCACTTGGAATAGACCTTGGAAGGCTTTCATTTCAGTAACTGAAAATCAATTTTGTTATATATGTTAAAGCCTGACTACAATCCTATTCTAAGGATAAACTTTAAGCATTTGTTTTTAGATGAAAATTCAGTTGGTTTCTGATGTCCCATGATTGTATATAATGCTACATTGAACATTTGTACATAGACATCGATTTATTTACCCATTGAGAAACTCTGTAGTTTAGAATGCTAGAAGCGCAAGTGCAGACCATTGGGATGCATATTTAAAGTTTATATCCAGTAAAGACACCCTCCAAAAGGCCATTTCAAATGACACTCCAGCACCGTCTGTTCGAAGCTTAGTTTCTACACTCCTAACAACAATGACTTTATATTCATTTTAGCTGCTGACAAATTTGGAAGAAATGTTGTCTTAGGTTAATATATGTCATTTGGATCACTGCTGATATACAGCATCAGCTTCTATATTTACTCATAAAAATACATACCTTAGTTTAAGCTTCATATTACATGTTGCCATCCCATGCTTCCAACATTTAACAACTTTCACATTACTTTGTGCATGCTTAAAAAAATCTAGTCTTTCTGGATTATTTTCCTCTTATACTTTATAAACATGCACCTTATTTATTAATTTATTTCTTCTTTAGCTTACTCTACTTCTTGATAATTTATGCAAACTTGTGTAGCCTATGCTGGTATTGTTGTTAAGTGCCATGAAGTCTGTTCTGACCCACAGTGACCCAATTTTGGCTTTGTGTGTGTGTGTGTGTGTGTGTGAGGGGTGTAGGAGAAGGGTCTGTGTGTGTGTGTAAAAGCAATAATCAGAGTACTGATCATAGAGTTCATGAATACATGAGATGTACTGATTCCTTTGCATACCTTTAGCAAGATTGTATTTGAATGCTTACTGACGTTATGTGCCATCAAGTCCGTTCTTGAATATCGGCCCCTAGAGCTTACTGCCTCCATCATCTCGGACTTGCAGCATTCAGAGTTGGAATTTTTCCACATGGGACTGTGAAAAGAGAATGATCTACATTTTTATATTTCTTGCTTATCTTTCATTAAAGGTTCATATACAGCGAAAATTAAAAAGAGCTGAATCCACAATACATTCATCAATGTATGCATTAGATTTCT